CCCGCTATCCCCAAGATTTCTATAAACTGCTGATGCTCGTTGTGTTAATGGTCTGGCCCCTCAGACCCCATATGTGATCTCTGGTCCATTTCTGTGTCAACCAGGGAGCAAAGCTCAGTTCCTCACTGGTTTCTACAAGAAATCCATGCACACTGAGCATTGTATGTGTTATTATAAATTTACTGAATATTCAGGAGGACAGGAAGGAGGTCACATGGCACATTGATCCACCTGTCACTGTCCCACTGCACTCCCAACCTTCCTCTTCCATCCCCTGGGTCTCTCTCATGAACAACCCACAGGTCTCTCTCCTTTGACCTTTAACCTGCAGAACAGTGTCCCGATATCCAGCGTTCCACCCATCCTCCACTGCTCCCCCAAGCTGGCTGGTCAGGAATTTTCACAAGGGCCACCCTTTGGATATCATCCTAAAGAGACATTTTCATAAGAATTACTAAGTAGAGAAAAAAAAAACTCACTTTATCCATCTCGTTTGAGTGACCCTCCCACATTGCCTAATAATTATAGCTCACATTTCCTGAGCACTCACTAGTTACAGATCCCTGTGCTAAGTAGACACATTATGAGTCTTAGCCACTCATAACTTAACTCGCAGAAGCTACAAGATTTGGCCAAGTTACTCGGCTAGAAAGTGGCAGGGCTGGGATTTGAACCCAGGGCTCTTGAAGCAGGGGCCCCACGACCTGTTGTGACATTGCAGCCAGAACGGTAGTGCCCATGGAGGCACAACCCCAGCACCTGGACACCAGGACCACAGAGGAATTGCTCATTAATGAGAATCATTTCCGAGCCCCAAAGCGTCACTGGGAACAGAACACTTGGTATCCCCCACTTCCTCCTCTTGTTTCCCATCACTAGATTATGTGCGATGCCCTGGGCTGTGGGGAGACCCTGATGATCCTTGGCAGCTCAAACATCGTATGTGCCCCCATATCACCCGGCTGACTCTCACCCACGCCATTGCTGATGCAATCTCACGAGTTAGGGAACACGAATGAAGGCTCCGATTTATGTTTACAAGGACCCTGCAAACTTCCCCAGCCCTCTGGGCATTATGGGAGAATGACCTGGAAAATCAAATGTGGAGAAGTGTCCCAAATATAGGAGTCGTGTTTGAGGCATAGTATAATAGAACCTATTAGCTTGAGAACTTGGTCTGGAAAGCTTACTGAAAGAGACAGATCATTCCACATTCTCTCCAGACTGAAAATATTGGGGGGTAATAGACCTTCCCTGATGCCGCAGACCTATGTACCTCATGTCAGGATCACAGCCTACCTCTGGCAAGGCCAAATTTAATGCAGGTGATAAAAGCAATTGTTTTTTGTTTTGTTTTGTTTTTTACTGGGCAGTTCTGATGAACTCTGATTTCTCGAGCCAGCCACAGACTTATCTGTACCAGTCCCTCGTTGCTGGAAAGGGTGCAAGGCAGAGGAGCTAATGATAAAGAGATATGAAGTTTAAATTGTGGACTGTGTCATTACCGCACAGCTCAGCAGATGACTGTCCAGCCACAGAGGCCCCTGTGACCAGCCTCCACGCCCCCCCCCCACCCTGCCACCATACACACACACACCTTAATATGCTCAATTCACCCTCAATGGAGATGCCAGGAAAGCAAGCACCATTGCATTATGAAACTTGACCTTATACGTCTTTGCTATTTAAAATGAGTGATAAGAAGAATCCTTTAACTTTATATGTTAGGTATTATCATAATTGTTATTGAGCACTGATAGGTTCAATAATACTATGAGTTGCTGGGATTTAGTGGGTGCTCGCTCCATGCCTGGCACTATGCTAAGAGCCTTGTTCACATGCACTATCCCTTTTATCCCCAGAGCAAGCTGACAGGACGGGGTAGGTACAATTCTCTGTGAAGGACCAGACAGGAAACATTTTAGGTTTTGCAGGCCACATGGTCTCTGTCGCAAGTACTCAGCTCTGCCATGTAGATAGCTTGAAAGCAATAGTAGATAATACGTAAACGAGTAA